GGACCCTGATGCTTGACCTGCCGACCTCGGATGCGCCGACGCCTAAGCGCTACCGCGCTGAGGTGCCGCTGTTCGCCCCGATTGACACGGCGAAGTCGTCGTTCAAGGTCCTTGGCACGAAGCTCGAGGTCACCTTTGTCAAGGCCGACGGCGCGTCTTGGCCGGTCCTGCGCAGCGATGACCGCTTGGCCGGCGAGATCTTGCAGATTGGCAAGGCGGGCGTTGCGCAGCGGTGATGCTGTTTTGTGCTTCCCATCATCACGTCACGATCGATGCTCAGTGCGACATCGGCGATAGAGGAGAGGATCTGGACCAGCGAGACATGCGGGTGGCAAACGTGCTGCACGCGGCGAGATGATAAGACGATGACATGAAGTAGGGCGTACGCGGGGGCATGTGGGCGTCAGGCAAGAAAAAAAGGAGGCACAGCATAAGAGGAGGGCATGCGACAATTGGACGGAACTAGAGAGTAAGACGGCCCGAACAACAAAGTGTAGAGTAGCGGCATCGGACATGGACGGGTGACAGGGAGACTTTGGAGGGCTTGAAGAAGCACATCGGCGGAGCAGCTAGCGGGGGGATGTGCACCTCCTGTCCACGGCAACACGACGATCCGGAGGGGAAGAGGGGGGACGAGCAAAGGACGCCGAATATCTCTTGGTCATCATCAATCGGGCGCCGAAAGCTTTCCAAAAAAAGTCCGTAAGACGACGGACGATAAGTGTAGGCCCCGACCATTTCTTGGCTGTCTCACGAGCGAGGTGGGCGTCGGTGGGATGAGGCGCAGTGGTATCGAAGGCGGACAAACGCCGTAAGAGACGGAGAGCCAGCCAACCAGAAAGAAGACATATTTATCAGACAATGCAGTACCGATATCAATGAACGGATCTACCATCGACACACGCAATGGGCCCGCTGCCGTCATGTAACACATTCTCACACACGTACACACAACAACCCCCCTATCTATCGGTCGAATCAGCATGTCGTCTTCGCCCACGGGTGGTGACGACGAGGGGGTGGACCCTGATGAGACACGCAGGACGACGACGAGACATCTCGCCGGGAGGACATGTTTCTCTGCACTCTCCCGTGTCCGGAGGCTTGGGTCTGTCGCCCCCTTTTACCCTTACCCATTCCACTTTCATCCCCCCCCCCTTCCAAGCAATGTGTCCACGCGTACGCATGCACCTGCTGTCTGTGGGTGACCTTTTTGTTTTTCCCTTGCCATGTCGACATGTCTGGGATGTCGAGGCGCAGCGTTAGTCCACTGAGACATTGATTCTGGACCATTGACACGGACGACCGGGGGGCAATGAGCGGGCGGGCTATGCAACCCGAGGCGAAATTGGCACGATGTGCACCCACGGGAGCGGCGGGTTGACCACAGGCTCGAGGCCGGAATGAGGGCGACGACGATCAATCTAGTGGCACGGATGTGACTGGAAGGCAGGATGTGCTGGGTAACATCATCAAAGTGGTGATGTGACGAAGGCTCCGTCTGGTCTTTACACAATTCTAAGTCTCTTGGCACATTGGAGGCTGGGACCTCTGAGGATCTGATGGTGGGGATATAACTTTTTTCTTTCTGAATCTGATTTGAACTCAAGAGGACTGTACAAGCCCGCCATGCACGACGTTGAAACGAAAACTGGGGAGGCGCCGCATGTGGGAAAAGGCAACTCTAAAGGGACACCCACAGCTCTCCCCGTCCAACTGCGACGCTGAAACCGTCAATCCGGTAGGGTGGATCAGCCGCGCGCGCGCACACACTGCTTCGCTGTCAAACAATGTTTGTGCGTGCCTGCTCGCCAAGAAAACAATAGCAGAGTTTTGGAACAAGTGAATTGAATTGAGAAGGGTTACTACTACAACACGAGATATGGATGAAGGGGGCCCACATGCTTGCTGCCCAATGTGCTGTGAAAACGACAAGGCAGCCCTGGCATGGGGGCGCGCTCAGTGGTAGCGAGATAGATAGACAGATAGATAAAATGGTCCACGATCGGCGCGCTCCAGGTAAAAACAGGGGACGCGAAAGAAACGAAACAAGAAAAGGAATACCCAGGAGAGGACTCCCTGGAAGGAATCCCTGTCAAACGCCACCTAGCATGAACCCCTTTCAAGGTTGGATATCTCAAAGTGGAAATGAAGGAAATGAAAGAGATGCCCCAAAAGAGAACACACATCCCCAGTCAGACAAGCCGCTGCGCCCCCGGCCGCCTGAGTCGGGAAACGGGGAGAAAAGGGAGGGGGGCCGGACCAACAGGAAAAGCAACAGAAGCAGCCCTATCGGCAGGTCGTTGATTGATCTGACGTCGACCACCAACCGTCATACTCGGCATCACACCCTCTCCAAAGAGACAAGGCCAGAGCCGCATACGCCGGCGTGCGCCTCCCGCGCAGATGTGAGCTTGCGAGTGCCGGAACTAGTGCCCCTTGGCTTGAGGGAGTGCCCGACGAGCCGCCGAAGAATAAAGTGTGACCAAGCCTTCGACGGAGCGCGACAGAGGACCCGTTCGAGAGCGAAAACGGATTGGATTGGTGCTCAATCACAGGCGTTGCAATGAGCCAAGGGCTTGTCTGTTTTCCCTCCAAGCTGTGCTCCCGTGCATCGGGACGGCGCTCAGAGGCTTCTGCAGCGCAGATCATGTTGGGGCTTGGTCGAGGGAAACCATGTCCCCCCCCCCTCCCCCCCTTGTCAATGCAGGGACCCTGAGCGGCCAAGGCTGCATTCGTTTGGGTGGGTGGCTTTCGAAACCTTCCGACCGGTGTATGTTTGTGTGCTGTGTGTATTCCTCATCGTTGATTCATCAATGTTGCATAACTCCGTTTGCGGCACTATCGGTGGCGGTGTTGACGGCGACAATCCGGCGCAGTGGGAGGAGGCTGCAAGCCATGGGGTGCGAGTCCCAGCGATAGGAACTGACGCATGCTCCCCCGGATCATGACCGAGAGAAAGCATCGTCGTCCTCATTCCGGACCTCAAGGGGACCGGTCCCTATGGCAAGCGCCTTGGCAGATATGTTCTTGTGTGTCTTGCTAGCAGGATCATCGTCGATAGATAGAGAGCCGCCGCAGCGTCATCATCCATCATCCCTGATCAACCGTGCTTGCTGGCAGTGCCCTGCGATGACGACTCGTTCTGCTTCTGGCCCTTTTGCAGCTCTCCGTTGTAGATGAGCTGGAAGCCGTCCTTGCGGCAGATGACGATGGGCTTGTCGTTTTGGCAGCGGCCGAGGATTTGGGTATGGTCGGGCAGCGTGTAGGGCACGGCCTGCTTGAAGTGGATGATGGGTCCGCCCTCAAGGGTGAGACCGATAATCTCGGCTCCCTCAGTACCGTAGTTGTAGTCCTCATCTGAGTCGACCTGAAGCGTGTTGCTGGGGTTCGTGTTAGTTGACCCGTTGGGCTGCTCTGCGTCTGTGCTCCAAGATTGCATGGTAGCATTGACCGGGTCTCACTTACACCTGGCTCATCGGGAGAGTACCGTCTTCGACGTCTCCGCTCCTGCTGCTCTTTCTGATGCTCTTGGCCTTGGAATTGTCCTTGGCCTCGCTGATTCGCCTTGAGATACACGACTGCATGAAATTGAACAGGCCTGCCACGACAAGGACGGGCGTACCGAGCGCGAGCGCCCAGGGACTAACAGCATGTCAGCGAGATGAGACTGCGTAGGGAATCTCTGATGAGAGACAGTGACTTACGGGTTCTTGCGTTCTCGCAGGGTGTGCATCAACGCGAGGACGATGCCGCACACGGCGATCAACGAGCCAACCTGGATCATGGTCCAGGTCGACCAGTAAAGAGACATGAGGTCCTCGCCATCGCAGAACTGGAGAGCGAGCAGAGCAAAGACCTCCATGACGACCGTGACGACGGAAAGAGAGATGCATCCGCAGGTGATGAGAATGCATCGCACGACCAGTGCTTTCTTTTCGAGCTGCCTTCAGGGAGTTCTTCGATTTTTTCCAAGGTCCTGCGGACTATCGTCAGTGATGCTTTCTCATGAACAGAAATGGGTATCGACGTCTTACCTCGAATACCCATAGCGCACAAAGAGAATGAACAGATTGAAGATGAAGAGGGGCCAGTAGACCAGATCGAACTGCCACCTCTCAAGGTGGGATGCAAACCGTGCATAATGGGCACACCGGGGCGGGTCGATGGGTGTAAAAGTCATCGTGGTGGTAGTGTGTCACCAGTGATAGAGGTATGATTGTTGTTTGACTGAACTCTAAGCCAAGATGAGGAAGAGTATATATCGATGATATAGACGGAATACCACAGACTTGAGAGAGGGAGGGTCCAGACGGGAACAGATCTTTATAGAGCGCTGGTCAGGTTTTGATCGACAGAGGCGTGGCAGAGAAACGCTGTCGAGATGTGTCTCTCTCTCCGCCCGGACGAAGCGGGTCAGGCATGTTTGGCGTGTCGTAGATAGGCTTCAGGACAGACGTCCCTGCCCTGCCCAGCGTGTACAGCCTCCCGTCGACCCTCAAGGGATCTTGGCAGCTTCTGGGCCTGGGACACCCAAGACGGCAGTTCAGGCTACACAGGTGGATCGTCGGGGCCGTGTCATACCAGAAAGGCTCTTCCACAGGCCCAGGCGTCAGACACAATCGCAACATCGCAATGCCCATGACGAAGCAGGCGAAGGCTAGCCGCGCAGTCACCCCGGCAAGCCTTGTAGATAGTGTGTGTGCAATCACAATAGCTCTCCCAGCCCGGGAGATCGAGCCTCCACAAGTGCCTCCGCCCTCCCACCTTGACTGCTACGCTGCCGGAGGGACCCCAGTCGGATCTAGGAACAACCCATGAAACAAGTCGACAGTGGTGGTCGAGTTCTGAATCTGCGTTGGGTTCTAATCGAGGCTGCCAAGCCCTGGCGCCCAGTCTGTTTGCAATGGCAAGTCGAGGGTCGGATGCCGCAGTCGAAGCGCAGGTCAGACTAGCGCGGTCTTGGCAAGATGCGCGGGATGGAGATGTAGATAGATTGGCGATCGACATGGAGGGACGGGGTGATCCTGGTAAGCGTTCGAATGCCGGCCGGCGTTACGGCTGCCGCCTTGTCAATGCCACGACACATGCTTAAAGTTGGGCTGCTTGATAGCTGCTGGTAGTGCGTGAAAAGGCCTTATCCTCCGGGCGACTCAAAGCTTGCGTGGACGAGGGATTGGGATAGCGGCGGATCCTATTTCCACCGGCGTCCACCCCCCGCCCCTCAAAACCATGTCCATGCACAGCGACCGGCGTTGTCATCCAAGCCTTTTTCCGTCCTGGCCTCCTATCTTGGCTTGAAATCCGACATGTAATGGCCAGCCTCCCCGATCGGGCTTCTCAGGGGGGGGGGGTCCACCTTGTCCTTTATCGGACACTCCCCGTCATCGTGCGTCCTCCTCCTCCACTGCCAGCTCTCTTCCTCACTGCATGCCCTCCATGAACTCGACCCGGTCGAGGATCATGCCCTTGAGTCCCAGGTACTCGCGCATAGATTCCCACTCTACTCCACCCTCTTCTCCATGCCGCCACTTCTCCCTAAAACCCCACGCGCAAGCCACAGCGTCCAGGCCCGCCCTCTCCTCCTCACGCATCCACCGCTCATGCAGCGGGATACCAGGCGCCCAGGTGACGCGTTTCATGTGGTCGTTGGACGTGATTTTGGCCACCACGCCGATCGTGGATGTGAAGCTGAGGTACGCCATGATGGCCGCAAATCCTAGCGTCGTGGCCGTCGACGCCTCGACCGTGTTCTGGAAGTTGGACATGACGGAAGCCAGTGCGTAGGCGGCAAATGGGGCCGCGCCCATGACTGCCGCGGGGAGAAACGCCTTCTTCAGGAGCTTCTGTCGTCTGAAAGCGTGGCTGGTGTAGCAGCATTCAATCACGCCTAGCGCGGCATCGAGGTTCTTGGCCTCAATAGCAACCCCCAACCCGGTTTCGGCCGTAGTCGCTTCGATCGCCTTGTCTGCCCGTTTGGGGTTTTGCTCAACGTATTTGATGGCGCCAGCAACAACTTCAGGTTTGGGCTTGGACGCATACAGCTCGAATACGTGGGGCAGTGTCTCGGGCCTGCCAAGTCTGGCCTGGACGTGCACGTAGAGGTCAAGGATCTCAGGCGTGATGGAAACTGGGGGGTGGGCGACGATGGCGTAGGCTGATTCGGAAACACTGTTGACAGCCTCCCTCAGGAGCGCTGGGGCGTTTGAGCCCTGCTGCAGGCTGCTTGAGCCGCCAGACAAAGTGCTTGAGGCACCACCGTCCGAGTCGAGCGACAAGAGGCTCGACGCGGTGGAAGTCGTTGTACTGGATCTTGGCGCAGTCTGTGAGAGGTGTGGGTGTATCGCATTCGCCGCCGTCTGGCAGGTCCTCAATGCCGCAAGCACGAGCTGGGGTGTCGGGATGCCGTCCGTGGACAAGAACCGTTCCTTGCTCTTCAAAACGAGGGCGGGCAACTTCCGCAGGTCCGGAAGTTCCTTCGGAGCTGTGCTCAAGGCGGAGGCCTGTTGCTGCTGTCGCGCTGGCCACTCCGTAGCCTGTGAACTTGCGAATCTCCTGGCTCCGTTGATGCCTTGGTGTCTCAGAGAAGCACTGTAGAACCTAGTGGTCATGCTCTGTGGAGCGGCGATCCATAGGGGAGAAGGCTGAGCCTTCGCAGTGTGCAGAGGTCGAGCAGGCGCGAAGGCGCACAATCGACAAATGCCAGCCGACTGACGAGCCGTGCGAGGGACCGAAGACCGCATCATGGTTGGATAGTTGACACAGCAGTCGAAGAATAGATGGGATGAATGGTGTCGACTTGGCGAGTCGTGTCGTTGTTGCGCAGGAAACGCGATGCAGATCACCGCGCAAGTTCGTCGGTTCGGTCGTGGCAGTGCATTAACTGGTATCGGTCCTGACGTCGCTATTCTCGCCGTCGGTCATTCGAGAGGGGAATTCGGGTGCTTGCGGGATCTAAGAGGTCAATTGGGTATGGTCATGCAACGGACGGCCTGCACCAGTCCAGCGTCGAAGGTGGGAAGCTCTTGGAGTCGTGAGGCAGCTTTGCGGGAAAGAAAAAAAAACAGCCTGAGGCTGTCGAACGAGGCTGTCATTAGCTATTCTCGGCCCTTTCGGCGAGCCGTTACACCCCGGTGCCTGACTCCAGGGGACTTCAGGGGAACCTTCCCCTAATGGAAAGGTCTGCTCCCTGTGTCCGCCAAGATGACATAATCTCCACATGGCGCCTGTGCACCTCCGACCCCTAGAGTCGACACACTTATATGCAGCTTTAGAGGTCTATTTCAGCCTCCATTGCAACGTCCATCCACTCGTGGCAGACGTTTGTGCACTTGTCAGCTACGAGTTGGCAATTCGTTTGCGACATCATGCTCACTCTTCCAGCATGCTCACACAAAGCCTGATGTCCGTGACACTCGCGCTGATCGACATGCGTTGAGACTAATGCGTAGATGCATCACACTCTCAGCAAGCCTCTACTCATGATGCAAGAGCCGAGCGCCTAGCGTCCAGTGTCCACCCTGTTGCATTCGTCCAGGGCTCAGGACACAGGATAGATGCTCTAGCAAGGCGAGACCCACGTCTGACTGAGGTAGACAGACAACTGAGCCGATTCCTGACACGCTCCAAGGTGCCCAACTGACCGCCCTAGAGAATCCGTTGCCCCGTAGCGGCTTCATAGCGCGCAACCAAGGTGCCGCTCCGCCTTGTCCTCCTCCCCCTCCTCCAGACGGCACCTACCGTGGAACAGACCTCCCCCGTTGTGAACGCCAGCGAACTTGGCACCCCCCGCACTACGCTGCCGCCTCCCGTCGACTCAAGTCTCCCTGCGGTGTGATCTTCTCATCGCATCTCGTCGTTTCACCGCTGTCCGGCAGTTGCGCGCCTGACACGCGGCGGCATTGGTCAGATGATCCACAGACATACCCCTGGGTTCCTGGAATCCATCTTTCCGTTCGCCGGTTTGCTCCGGTGTCTGGGCTTCTTCTTGTCGCGGCGGAACTTCTCATCATCTCTGATGGTTCGCTTTGCCCTGACCCGGCCTCAGATCATGCCTCCGACGCGTAAGACACCAAGAGATCTCCTGACTAGTTGTTGTTCAAGTAGCGATCGACATGGTCATCGATGACACAGATCGATTCTGTTTGTGACGGTGATCGGTTCTGTCAGGGGTTCTAAATTTGGACCTTAGATGCTGAGGTTGATTCTTTTGTCCGGGCAGAACACCGCCCTCTCGCTCATGTTGAAGTGTCGGGTGCACGTTGGTCTTGAAATCTTCGTATCTTGAAATTCCAGCGCAAGGGTCACGAATCTCCGCAAGCATGGCGGTCATGAGTTGCTGCTCTATCAAAATTGTCCGTTGTAGCTGCACATGCCGCACAACAGCTGCTAAGCCAAGGAAAACCCAAACTTCTGGCTACGACCCTCAAGAAAGAACATGCGGAATCTCATGAGGTTGCCCATCCACTAGACTGCTCTGTATCCCGAGAGTCTTTCCAATCAGCTTCGACAGGCGATTCAAGACATCATGTGCTAGCTGACGTGCTGAGCATACGATATTGAGGTCGCCGGGGCTTGATGTCGTCTGCCGGCGGCGATGTACAAGATGAGTTTGCGTTCCAGCCAGCACGTTTGAGTAATGTCACACAAGAGGCATATCTGTTGGATCTTTCTCAGCCATGACGTTTGCCCAGAGTTGAATGAGACACATGTACATTTGGCGTCATGTTCATGGTACAGGCGACAAACTCAATAGAACCATGGCATTCATGACGTGAGATCGGGTGCCAATGCCATGCCTGGCTTCCCTGTGGACTAAGTGTTGCCCGGGGAGAAAGTGAAGAGGCTTCTCTGTCGTACCGGGTGCATGCACTGTCAACGGTACTTGTTCATAACACTCGTATGACGAGCGCACCATTGTGTTGCTTTTTGGCGGTAAAAGCCGTTCTCACTCACAGCGATCTGGCGTAGACTTGTCATCTCGGGCTTGAGTTTAGGCCTGTGAGCTGAAGTACATAACTTGCAATACCCCTGAGAACAGCTTGGAAAATTGCAACTTTCGAGCGCCAATAATTGCAGAGCTGTTTGGCCTGACAACAGAGAGCAAATAGTTGGGTCTGTGTCACTGAGAGGGATAGATTCTGGCATAGCTCAGGGGCCCTCTCTTTTCATCGCCTGTGACCGTCCACTGTCAGTGCACCGATACCTGATGGATGACTTGTGCGTCAGGCAATTTGAATGCTGGACTGCCTTCAAGAGATAGAGATAACCATCATACCATCGAGTTCTTGTAGAGGGTGGAGGTCAACCCGTCTGTAGGGGTGATATCACGTGGCCACATGGAAGTGTATTAGGTAAGCGACACTGACGCGCAACGATGACGAAGCAGCCTGGCAGCTCTCCTGCGAGTCCTGACAATCAAACTCCGCCGATCAGCCTATCTCGACAACGAATGACAAAGTGGTTGTCTTTGGCCCTATACATTTCAACCACCACCGAGCATCATCCGCGATCAAAGAGCCACAGTCGCGGTTATCCTAGCCCTACCTACCCGATATCCAGGTGCCACTCACCTCGGGCAGCAAAACAGGCCATCCATTGGGTGCTGCCGTCTTCGAAGTTCTGGCGAGCGACCTGCCAATCAACATCTCGACTGAACATACACCTCGAGAGAATCAGGACCAACATGCCGCCGCCTCCACCACCTCCACCGCCTCCCATGCCCGTCATGGGTGGCCCTCCCCCTCCTCCCCCTCCCCCGCCTGGAGGACCACCAGCCGCCAACCTCCCCTCCAGGCCACCCACTGGGCCGGTCGTGTATGTGAAAGACTCGAATCTCAACCTCGATCTTGAAACCCCGGCACAACAACTGACTTGTTCTCTCAGGGTGCTCTTCTCGGCGAAATCGGCAAGGGCAAGGCGCTTCGAAAGGCAGTGACGAATGACCGCTCGGCACCTATCGTCAGCAAGTCTGCGAATAGCTCGGCCGGGCCCCCTATCGGCGGCGCACCTCCAGTTCCTGGTATGGGAATGGGCGGCGTGCCCAAGCCTCCCGGAGAACTCGCCCCCCCCTGCTCCTGGAAACCGCGCCAGAAGCAACAGCGACCCAGAGCGGACGTGAGA